GTCTGTCCGTTCGCGTTACACTCATCTTACAAGATAATATTTGCTTCAACTGTTCCTCCCAAGCACGTACTAGACTCGTTAAAATCCTTCATCGCAGTCCCCCATCCTTCAACACAAGGATATTGCCTCTCATAGCAATAGAACTCGATCAAGAGACGTAAAAGGGAGAGAAAAAACGCGCCTTTGATTGATTTGGGGGACAAATCCGAAGAACACGAAGGATTTGTTTACATCGAGGTGAAGAATGGACTCCGTTTTCTATACCAGGGTCTGCGTTTTCTTTGGTTCTCGTTTTCTATGTCGAGGTCATGGAGTTTTAACGCTATTTGGTTTCGTAACGATTTATTTTTAGCTCCTAATTACTGGGGATGATTAATTTCTGAAAGGTAATCGAGATGATGAAACCTTATAAATTATGACTATTTTGAGTCAATGTTTGGTTGATGAGATATTAGGCAGTTTTATGGTATTTATTGCATATACTGAATGACGTGGATTCAAAAATCAATCAATAAATACAAATCGAAGCTGTTTTCTCTAGGTTTGGAGAAATGCTCTTTCTTTTATCGCCTTTTCCTTCATTATACACACAATTTTTAAATCCATTCGTTCTTCTCATTCTCTCTCTCTCTCTCTTCTTCTCTCTCTCTCTCTCTCTCTCTTCTCTCTCTCTCTCTCTCTCTCTCTCTCTCTCTCTCTCTCTCTCTCTCTCTCTCTCACACACACACACACACTCATTCACTTAATCTCAATCTCTCTCTCTCTCTCTCTCTCTCTCTTCCTTTCCCTATTACCTGCAATCTTCCTCTCCATCCAGTTCCCCATTTATTTTTCTTTTTCTCACACACTCTCTTCTAATTGATTCTTTTAATATGAATCAACAATTATTTTCACTTATCCACTCTTTCATCCATCCATTCGTTCAACCTTTCACTTACTCATCCACCTATCCACTCATCAACCAACCCACTGGCCCCATTTTCTAACCACCTTCACACCCATCCACTCCCCCATCCACCAATCCACGCAATCCTCCCCTTTTCCCCTCCCCGCTTTCGCCTATCTCTCTCACCCCCTCCCCTTCCCCTTTTCCTTCCACCCCCACTTTTCTTCCTCTGCCCCACCCCACCCCCAATCTTCTTCCACTACCCCCCCCCTCTTCCACTCCCTCCCTGATCCTCACTCTTCTACTCCTCCCACCAACTCCCCCTCCCCATTTCCCTCCACCCCCACTCTTTCTTCCACTCCGTTCTTCCTCTTCCTCTCCCCCCACACTCTTCTTCTTCTAACTCCTCCCACTCCGCTCCCCCTCCCCTTTTCCTTCCACCCCCAGATTTCTTCCATTCCTCTCCCTCTTCCGCTCCCCGCCCTACGCCCTCTCTATCTCCCACTCCCTCCCTCTACCTCCCACCCCCACTCTTATTCTACCCCTCCCACCCACTCCCCTCCCCTTTTCCCTCCACCCCAGCTCTTCTTCCACTCCTCCCCCCTCTTCCTTCTCCCTCTCCCCACCCCCCACTATTATTCCACTCCATCCTCCCTCTCCCCCACTCCACCCCCACTCTTCTTCCACTCCTCCCTCCTCTCACCTACACCCCCACTCCCTATTCTACCCCTCCACCCACTCCCCCCCCGTTCCCTCCACCCCAGCTCTTCTTCCTTCTCCCCTCCCACCCCCACTCTTCTTCCACTCCTCCCTCCCTCTCCCACCCCACCCCCACTCTTTCTTCCACTCCTCCCTCCCTCCCCCCCCCCACTACTTCTTCCTCCCTCCCTCTCCCCCCCCCGCCCGTCTCCCCCCCGCCCCGTCTCCCCCCCCGCCCGTCCCCCCCCCCGTCTCCCCCCCCCGCCCATCTCTCCCCCCCCACCCTCCACTCATCTACCCTCCGCCCCCGACAGACAAGACGCCCATCCACATCGCCGCCGAGCGAGGCTTCACGCAGATCGTGGACACCCTCGCCGAGAAGTTCAAGGCGTCCGTGATGGACAGAACCAAGGACGGGTCGACGCTCGTGCACATCGCCTCACTCCACGGACACCCGGACACCGTCATGACCTTCTTGAGGAAAGGTCAAGTAAGGGGGGAAGGGAAGAAGGGGGGAGGAGGAGGGGGAGGAGGAGGAGGAGGGAGGAGGAGGGAGGAGGAGGAGGGAGGAGGAAGGAGGAGGAGGAGGGGAGGAGGAGGAGGAGGAGAGAGAAGAGGGAGGAGGAGGGGAGGAGGGGAGGGAGGGAGGAGGAGGAGGAGGAGGAGGAGGAGGAGGAGGGGAGGAAGGAAGGAGGAAAGGAGTGACGGTCCTTTTTTAAAGATTGTAATGATGATAATGATAATAACAATTAGGAATGATAATGATGAAATGGTAATAATAGTAATAGTAATGATACCAATAGTCCTGGCAATACAGATAAAAGAAAATAATCATTATAATTGATAATGATGGTAATTGAAATGGTAATGATGGTAATGTAATTTGATAATAATGAAAAAGGTGATAATCATGATGATGATAATTGATTAATAATGAAAGTGACGATTAACTTATAATAGAAATAATAATAATAAGAACAGTAGCAGTACTGATAACAATGATAAAAATGATAATGATGATAATAATGATTATAATAAAAGTAATAAGACTATTACTAATAATGGTAAATATAATAACATCAATAATGATAACAACTGAGATAACTGCAATTCAAATACGACCACACCCATACCACGCCACAAACCTATCCCACCCTTCCTTCTGCCCAACAGGAGTGCCTCTCCACATGCCCAACAAGAGCGGTGCCAGATGCATTCACACGGCAGCGCAGAGAGGTCACGTGGGAGTAGTGAACGCCATTCTCAACAAGGGGGAGCACGTTGACGTCACCACTAATGTAAGTAAGATTATTGATGATGATGATGATGATGATGATGATGATGATGATGATGATGATGATGATGATGGAAACGTGAAAGGAAGAGTAAGATGTTTTTTCCTCGTAATATTAATTTATTATGTATTTATTATATTTATAGCACTTGTTTATTGTTTTTTTTTTTATTGTTTTGTATATGAAATATAAACATCCATAGATTTTACTATGTAGTGTAGTCTTATAAGTGAGGATGATGATGATTATGATTATGACGATGATGATGATGGTGATGAGGGTGATTATGATAACGATGCTGATGGGGTGACTGTAAGTGATGATGGTAACGATGATGATAAGGTTGATGGTAGTGGTGAGAATGATAGTGATGCTGGTATAACGATAATGATTATAATTATAATAATATTGATAATGATGATTGGTTATGTTAATAATAATAATATTGCTGATTTTGTTTGTTGACGATGACAATGATGATATTCATGATGATACTACCAATGAACTAGAACAATTAAGAACCAAAGGCATCTTAGAATCCTAAATACCCACCTTCTCCAACGTCCCTCCTTCTGCCCTCCTCCAGGATGGCTTCTCCGCCCCACGTGTGGCCGTCCAGTCGGGGAAGCCGGCGATGGTGGAGGCGCTGCTCGGCCACGGCGCCAACCTCACCATGCAAGGTCAGGCGCGCTGGGAAACCGCCTCGGTTCTCTTATTGCTTCGGTTTTTATTTGATATTTACATGACTATTTTGACACTGGTGTTTATGTGTTTGTGTGTGTGTGTGTGTGTACGCATTCCTGTGTCCATAGACATTGACTAGCATACAACAGTGTCTGCCCGCCCGCCCCTCCCCAACACACACCCAACCCTCCCTCCCTCCCTCCCTCCCTCCCTCCCTCACCCTCCCTCCCCAGGCGGCGCGCCGCCGCGAGTCCGCCCTCCACCTGGCGGCGCGGGTGAAGGACGGGGAGAAGTGCGCCGAGATGCTCCTCAAGTCGGGCGCGGACGCCAACCTGCCCAAGGACGACGGCCAGACGCCCCTCCACCTCGCCGCCTTCCACGGGAACCTCCTCACGCTCAAGCTGCTCCTCGAGGACAACGCTAACCCGTCCCTCCAGTCCAAGGTCCGGCTCCGGTCGCTTCGCTCTCCCGGTTTTCGTTTTTTGTTATCCTATAGTCTGTTATTGTTTTTGTTTCGTTCTCCAGTCTTACCTTTTTTTCTTTCGTTATCCAATCTTCCGTTATTTAATTTGTTATTTTTGTTATTATCTTTTTATTTCGTGATCCAGTCTTCTGCTATTTTTTTCGTTCAATCGTCGTTTTTTCCCTTTCGTTATCCCGTCTTTTTTTTTTTTTTTTTATCTAGCCTTCCGTATTTTTTCTTTCGTAAACAATCCTTCTGATCCTTGTTATTCAGATATCATCTTTCCCTTCTTTTATCCATTATGTATTGTTGAACCTACTCTTGTCCTTTATCGTCGTTTCTTTCGTTATCGTTTATTTTTCTCTTTTTCTGTGTATTCATTCAACTATTTTTGTAATATTTGTGACATTTGTTCATATTTCTCTTATTTCTCTTTTCTCCGTTATCTAATTCTTCTCCCATTCGTTTGTTATCTATTATCTCTCTTTCTCTTTCCCTTTCTTCTGCAATCCTTTTCTTAGCCTTCCGAAATAAAGCTTCTTTATTTATGCGATACATTCTTCCTCTCTTTCTGTTCAATTATCCAAACATTTTCACTTCTCTTCATTATTCAGGCTTCCGGTTTACCCTCCTTTATCACCCCTTCTTATCCGCGTTACTCATTATTCTTCTAGTTCCTCTTTCATCTAGTTTCTCACCCTTATCTCCGTTATCTAATTCTGTTCTCTCTTCATTGAAATTATTCTTATCATAAGTCTTTCTTGTCTTATTTATCCATTCGTGGTGGTTACCTCAGTTATCCAATTCCTTTTACCCTAGTTATCCAATCTCTCTTGTCCACTCTTTCGGATTCTATTATTCCAACCTCTCATACCTCGTTTATCCAAGCTCTCTTCCCCCATTTATCCAACCCTTTCTTGTCTCAGTCATCCAAAGTTTCATACCATATTGTCCAATCCTTTCTTACCCCAGTTACCCAACCCTTTCACACCATATTATCCAAACCTATCTTACGCCCAATTATCCAACCCTTCCATACCCCAGTTATCCAACCCTTTTATAACATATTACCCAACCCTTTCACACCATATTATTCAAACCTATCTTACGCCCAGTTACCCAACCCTTTCATACCATATCACCCAACCCTTTCACACCATATTATCCAAACCTCTCTTACGCCCAGTTATCCAACCCTTTCTCTCCCTCTAGCCATCCCGCAACCCCCCGCTCTTTCTCAGGCTCCTAACCCAGGCTTTTCCCCTCGCTTCAGACTGGCGAGACGGCCCTCCACCTGGCCTGCTCGTCCTGTCGCGTGGAGGTGGTGAAGGCTATCATAGAGTACGTGGCCAAGAAGAGCGGGAAGGACGCGGTGGCCAGGCTCATCAACAAGAAGGTAAGATGAGGTTTGGGAGCTTTCTTGAGGTGGGGTTTGTGAGCTTTCTTAAGGTGGGGTTTGTGAGCTTTCTTTGAGGTTTGTGAGCTTTCTTAAGGTTTGTGAGGGTTTTGTGAGCTTTCTAAGGTGGGTTTGTGAGCTTTCTTAAGGTAGGTCTTTTTTTGTGAGCTTTCTTAAGGTGGGCGTGGGGTTTGTGAGCTTTCTTAGAGGTTTGTGAGCTTTCTTATGAGGTTTTGTGAGCTTTCTTTCTTAAGATGTTGTGAGCTTTCTCTTTTCTTCTGATGTTGTGAGCTTTCTTAAGTGGGGTTTTGTGAGCTTTCTTAAGATGAGTTTGTGAGCTTTTAAGATGAGGTTTGTGAGCTTTCTTAGTGATTTGTGAGCTTTCTTAAGATGAGGTTTGTGAGCTTTCTTAAGCTTTCTTAATGAGGTTTGTGAGCTTTCTTATGGGTTTGTGAGGAGGTTTGTGAGCTTTCTTAAGGTGGGGTTTGTGAGCTTTCTTAAGGTGGGGTTTGTGAGCTTTCTTGAGGTTTTGTGAGCTTTCTTAAGGTGGGTTTGTGAGCTTTCTTAAGATGAGGTTTGTGAGCTTTCTTAAGATGAGGTTTGTGAGCTTTCTTAAGGTGGGTGAGCTTTCTTAAGATGAGGTTTGTGAGCTTCTTAAGATGAGGTTTGTGAGCTTTCTTAAGGTGGGGTTGTGAGCTTTTCTTAAGATGAGGTTTGTGAGCTTTCTTAAGATGAGGTTTGTGAGCTTTCTTAAGATGAGGTTTGTGAGCTTTCTTAAGATGAAAAATGGGTGGGTGGGTGATGGGGGGGGGAGTTTTGGGAAAAAGGAGTGGGAGGGGAGTGGGGATGGGGTGGGGTGGGAGAGAAGTGGGTGGGATGGGAGGGAAGGGAGAGGGAGGTGGGGGGGGGGATATGATGTGAGTGTGAGTGAGAGAGGAAGGGAGAGGGAGAGGAGAGAGAGATGGAGATGGAGAGGGAGAGGGAAGGGACAGGGAGAGGGAGAGAAAGAGATACAGAGATACAGAAGAGAGAAAGAGCGATGGAAGAAGAAGGAAGAGAGAAAAAAGGGAAAAAGTGAAAACACCCCCACGCAGACGAGCCAGAAAATGATAATGATAAAAAAAAAAAAAAAAAAAAATCAAGAATCTTACTCAACCTCACCAACCAACCTTAACGACCCCACGACTACCTACCTCTCCTCAACCACCCCCTTCCCCCCCTCAGAACAACCTGGGCGAGACGGCGCTTCACTACACGGCCAGAATCAACAAGCAGAACACGACCTTCAAGGCTGGAGACGACCAAGAAATTGCGCAGATTCTTCTCTCGAACGGCGCTGAGATGATGGTGGCCACGACCAAGGTAAGAGGCTGATAGATAGATAGATGGATAGATAGATAGGTAAATAGATAGGTAGGTAGATAGATAGGTAGATAGGTAGGAAGATAGAGAGATAGACAGATAGATTGAGAGATAGACAGATAGATAGATAAGCAGATAGACAGACAGATAGATAGATAGATAAGATATATAGACAGTAGATAAATAGATAGCAGATAGAGATAGATAGATAGATAGAATAATAAATAGATCGATCGATAGATAGGTAGATAGATAGGTAGGTAGGTCGACATGCAGAGCAAACAGCAAGAGATCATTCTTAAAGATGACAACGATGATAATGATAGCAGTAATTCCCTAATTCCCAAAGCCATTGATGAAAGGGTTTTTCTCTGAAGAGCTAGATATATTATAAATCCATTGCTAGTGGGTATTTCGGTACTAGATGACAGAATTTTTATATAAACTTAACATTATGAATTGGATAAGGTCAAAATATGGACTCCACAAAAAAAGTTGTTGAGTAATGGAAAAACTATTACAAATAATTCACCATGTATATACCTACCCAAAAAAATGATAGATAAATAATATAATCGATAAATAACATGAATTAAAAAATACGTATAAAATTGATTGTATTTGATTTTTCCCGCTTTACAGACACAGGAGACTCCAGTCCATTTTGTCTGGCAACGATCATGCTGCTGCTCACCGAAATGCTCCACTTTGCTCCTCATGATAAGGTAAAGTGAATGAAATAATAGGAAATGCACATTTGGGTACTAATGAACATACTTGAACTTTGAGGAAGACAATAGAAATGTAGATTTCATTCCGAGTGTATTTTGATTCCAGTTGAACCTCCTTGAGGAATAAAAAGAAAGTTGAGAAAAAAATATGTATTATATATATATATATATATATATATATATATATATATATATATATATATATATATATATATATATGTGTGTTGTGTGTGTGTGTGTGTATGTATATATATATATATATATATATATATATATATATATATATATATATTATATATATATAATATATATATATATCGATACCATCACATTCATTATATTCAATATATTCGTCATTTCATTCTTTCTTAATAAATACCATCACATTTATCATCATTTTTTTAGATACTCCTTGTCTAACGCATCTATACTTTATCTATACAACCACATCCATTATCAACGTTTCGTATCTTATTCCTTCGTTCGCTCCTTTCCATTCATAAATTCCTCCATTCATCCCTTTTCATTCATAAAATCCTTCATTCATCCTTTTTCCTTCATTCATCCCTTTTCATTCATAAATTCCTTCATTCATCCCTTTTCATTAATAAATTCCTTCAGTCACTCATTTTCCCTCACCAATTCCTTCATTCATCCCTTTTCATTCATCCTTTTTCCCTCACCAATTCCTTCACCCATCCATTTTCATTCATAAATCCCTTCATCCATTCTCCCTCATCAATTCCTTCATTCACCCCTTTCCTTAGTTCCTTCATTCACCCATATTCCTACGCCCATCCGTTCCTCCACTCTACCTCCCTCTCCTCCCTCCCCCGCCCGCAGATCCAGCAGCTGATGAACGCGCAGACGGCGACCGGGCGATCCCCCTTGCTCAACGCGTCCGACCACGGCCACGAGGGCATAGTGACGACCCTCCTCGACCACCAGGCACGAGTGGATGTGTTCGACCACGAGGGCAAGGCGGCGCTTCACCTGGCGGCCGAACATGGCTATAGACTGGTGAGTTTGGTGGGCACGGCGAGGGCAAGGAGGCTGGAGGGGTGGGTATGGTATTTGTGGGGGCTTCTAGGTGTTTTTGTTGTTTTTTTTCTCTTTCTTTTTTTTGTAGTGTGCAGTTTCCCTATCATTCTGTCTCAGTTGTGGCTCTTTGCTATCGCTCTCTATCTCTCCTTCTCTGTCTGTCTGTCTGTCTGTCTCTCTCTCTGTCTGTCTCTCTTACGTCTTCCCTCTCCCTCTGCATTTAATTCTCCTTCCCTCCCCCCTCCTCTATCTCTCTGCCTCATTCTATCTTTGTTTTTACAGTTCACATGCCCATCCTATTAAGTCCATCATAACTTTTAATCCCTCATCACCAACTCCACGACCCTGTTTTTAAATGATCATGTCCATCTCTCCCCTTTGTTAATTCTCAAATCTTTCTTTTATTACGCTTTTTAGTCCTCCCTTCTTCTTTTTTATTGTTGCCATTATCTCCCCCTCAGATTTACCATCTTCTCGTCTCATTATCTAGGATTTTATTTGTTTTTTTCTAGTTCACTGGCTGCGTGTTTTCTTTAACCCCCGCCCTGACTATTAACGGCTGATGGGCGGAAGTTTCTTGTAATTATAAGGCTACAACTACAACTAATATTATTATTACTGTGGCACCACTGCAACCTCTACTACTAACAGTACTCATATACTAGTAATACTAATATACCAGTAGTAAAATTACTTCTGTTACTATTTCTACACTACTATATGTAATTTCGACTTCTTCTATTATTAGGATTATTAGTAACACTGATTACCCGAGACAGTAGTGAAACTGACACATTTGCCTGTTAAAAAAAGAAAAAGAAAATTATCATAGAAATTCAATTTTTTATATAGTGTAGTGCTGAGATACGCCTTTCTGTTTATTCCCCTTCCTTTCTCCTTTGTCTTCCTTCTCCTCTGTATTCTCGTTCCTCTATTCTCTAGAATAAGAAAAATTCTCTTCACAATCCTCCCATCTCGACACAGAGTACCTCTTCCCAATGTTCTTTTTTTTAGCCTGTGAATAAGCAGAACTTCCAAAGGTTATCCAAATTTCTCATATATTTCTTTTTCCCTTCCGTTACTTCTTCGGTTAAGTGATAACCCATCTTCTTATGTTGTCACTTCCAAACGACTTTAAAATGCCTTTGTTCGTTTCTTTGTCTCTCTCTCTTCCTTTCCGTCCACCTTTCTCCTTCACATCTTCAGATATATGAATCCCTACCTGTTTTTCCCCTTTTAACCAGTCCCAAGGGTCAAATTAAGTAAATTGACGTTTCCCCTCTCTCTCTGCTACCGTCCTTTCTCTCTTTCTCCTCCTTCATCCTTCTCTCTCTCTCTCCTTCAGGTCTGCGACGCCCTCCTGCAGCACAAGGCCTTCGTCAACGCCCGAAGTATGACAGGTCTGACAGCGCTCCACCTCGCTGCCATGAGAGGCTTCAAGGGCCTGGTACAAATCCTCATCACCCACCACGCGGCGCAGAAGGAGGCGCTGACGCTGGTAAGGTTTCGGGATGTGGCGATGGTGATGAAAGTGCTGGTTGTGATGCAAAAGGACACCTTGCATTGATCATTTAAAATTATATTGATAAGTGACATAGAAATGGAAATCCACTCCTGACATACAACGCAGCTTCACCTTGCACTCAGCTCCGTTTGGCGACAATAGGATATGCAGTCTACATCTTCCAGTAATCATTCATTTGTTTCCCATTATTGAAGAAAATAAACAAAATATCAATAACAACAATCAAAATATACGGAATACCCTAATTAATATACCACAGTATTTACTTACTTAAAAAATTTTTTTTAATCCTTTCATGTTGTCCATGCATCTTGACCGCTCATCAAAATCAAAACAAAGATCGAAATAGAATCGGTATACCTCAACCTCTTTTCCAATCTTTTTCTTTATCTAACCTCCTTTTCTTTACTCTTTTTTTTTCCCAAACTCACAGCCCCTCCGTCTTCACCCACCTCCCTCACCCCCTCTCTCCCCCTTCCAGTCGAAGCAGACGCCGCTCCACCTGGCGGCCGAGGCGGGGAAGCTGGAGGTCTGCGACACCCTCCTCCAGCTGGGCGCCGACACCAACGCCACCACCGACGGGGGGCAGAAGGCCATCCACTTGGCCGCCATGAACAACTACTCGGAGGTCGTCAAGCTGTTCCTCAAGACGTCGCCTGACCTTGTGACCACGGCGGACAAGGTCGGGAGGAGGAGGGTGTTTGTGTGCATGGGCGGGCGGGGTGGCTGGGATTTGTGTGGATGGGGGGGGGGGGGTGTATGTTATTTGCGTGTGCATTTCTGTTTTATGTGTGATCGATGGGAACTTCGGGTGTAAGCGTAAATGTGTATGCTGTCTACAGTTAAAAAAGAAACGCTGGCTTAATGAAAACACTTATATGAATGTTTATATTCATTATAACATTAATACCATTTTCAGAAATAATATTCCAACAACTAATGCAAGCCAAAATAAAACCAAAAACTACCCTTCCCCCTTTCCCTCCACCCCTACCCACCCATCCACAGGACGGAAACACGTGCGCCCACATCGCCGCCCTCAAAGGCTCCGTAGATGTGTTGCGCGAGCTGATGCGCCACAATCGGGGCGTCGTCATCAACGGCAGAAACCGCGTCGGGGACTCAACGCCGCTCCACCTCGCCGCAGAAGGAGGACACGCCAAGCTGGTCAAGTTCTTGATCGAGAACGGAGCTTCGCCCAAGGCGGAGAATGGGGTGAGTTGAGAGTTAGGTTTGGGGGAGATTCTCATGTCTGAGTAGCAACCTTTTTGTATGTCATACTTGATGTTATGGATTATTCTTATTAAATTCACGTATTATAATTTATGAATAATAAATATAATCTTCAGTTTCATCTGTTCAAATTCTTCCTCCAGGATTACTCCCTTCTAGCAATTTTGAAGTGCAATTTAACTAATATATCATAGTTACCCAAACATATAATCATTTTCTATGTTACTGACGACCCTCGTTTTCTGTATTTCCAGGCAGGGTTTACTGCGGTACACATAGCAGCCAGATATGGCCACATCCAAGTACTAGATACGCTACGAGAAGTCACTAGTCTAAGAATTATTAGTAAAAAGCTTGGACTTTACGCACTTCATATCGCCGCTCATTATGGACAGTCAGGTATGCAACAATGAATGAAAGAGCAAAGAAACGTAAAAAAGATAAAGTCGAAGGAGAGGGAAGAGAGAAGAGAGAGAGAGAGAGAGAGAGAGAGAGAGAGAGAGATAGAGAGAGAGTGAGAAGAGAGAGAGAGAGAGAGAATGAGAAGAAGAAGTGAGAGAGAGAGAGAGAGAGAGAGAGAGAGAGAGAGAGAGAAAGAGAGAGAGAGAGAGAGAGAGAGAGAGACAGAGACAGAGATAAAGAGAGAGAGAAACAGTGACAGCGTACGTGAGGGTCCTTATACATGTACATGTTAACGTCACCACAGATAAACACGGACAGAAACGACCTCCTTTAACGCCCCGCAATCCAACCACCTTTCGACCTCCACAGAAATCGTCAGAGAACTTCTTTCGCACATTCCCGCCACCATAAAATCGGAGCCGCCCATCCTCAGCGGCGGACGCCCATTCCTCCCTGACTTAGGGGCGGAGGCGGACCTCACGCCCTTGCATCTGGCCGCCCACCAAGGCAACGAGGGCGTCGTCAGAATCTTGTTCAACATCCCGGGCGTCCAACCTGATGTTTCTTCCAGGCTCAATGTGAGTTAACTGTCAGGATGTTGTCTATGTCAGTGACGTTCAAACATTTCCGTTTATTGTACATTTTATTACCTTCTTGTACTGTTTCGTACCCCCCCCCTCGTCCACCATAGTTAAACAAAATGTTTTACTTAGGATAATGCAAATGATATACTAATTAAGAAAAGACTGCATTACAGGAGAGTTGGTCAATAAATTCGAATTTAATACACGAATAAAAAAGATGACCTAATAACATTTGATGTTTCCGGTTGTGTGTATGTGTGTGTTCCTTGTTTGTTCACGTACCCTTATGATCTATGTTGCGGACCCCAGTTTGGAGAATACTGGTCTATGTTACCGAATATAGGAAAAAGGAAAAGTAAAATGTTGCCCGAGTATGCATGTTCTTGTTTGTATGAAAAAGCGGACTGGAATGTGGAATATAACGAATAGATTGAAGCGAATGTGTTTAGCACAATAGAAAAGAAAATGAAAGGCTAAAAAAAAAAAAAGAAGAGAGGGGAATTAAAATAATAAAAAAGAAGGCAAAAAAAAATTTATAAAAAAATCCATAGTGGGAAATATATAGGAGAAAAAAAATAAAATGATCTGGGTAGTTATGGAAAATTATGTCCCAAATGATATCTATTAATTCTCCTGTAATTCTTCTTTATAATAAACACCAATACTAAAATATCTTATATATTCATAACATTTCCAAGACGGCATTAACCAACACTCCCCGACTACGAATAAACCGTGTTACACATTCACCAAAACTAGAATATAGATATACACGTTACCTCGAACGCAAATAAAACTTCCTTTCCTTCCGTTTCCAGGGCTACATCCCCCTCCATCTAGCGTGCATCGGCGGCCACACATCCGTGGTCGGTCTCCTGCTCTCCAAATCGACCAAACAGGTTCGGACACGGCGATGAGACGATGTATTTGTGTGTGCTTGTGTAGGCGTATCTGTCTTGTCTATCCGTCTATCTATCTATCTGTTTATCTACCTGTCTGTCATTCTGTTTTTTTTTTCTCTCTCTCTCTCTCGTGTCGTGTCAGTCAGCCAGCAGGTTTGTTTATCTTTATATTTACATATTTATCTATCTATATATACTTGTTAATCTAATTAGTACTTGCTATGAATACTGTTAAATACTTCAATTTAAATTCACTCAATGGGCATATCATATCACCACAAAAAGTAGATATTACTATTATGGAAGTCGTATTATCAAATGATTCTCCCATTTCCTAATTAAACGATTGCTCAGTATCGCATGTAATCCTCGCCTCTAAGTTCTCCACATTGGACTATCCATTTCCTTTAATAAACACTTAGCCCTCAAGTGTTCTGGATAAATTGTGTTTCTATTCACTGTATTATTGTCATTATTGGTCATACCATTTGTAGGAGTACTATCGGTATTTGTAATAGTAAAAGTATGCGTAATGTTTTCTGCAATAATAGTAGTAATGGTAACGATATTAGTAATAGTGTTAGTAATTCTTATTGTAGTAGTAATAGTAGTGTTTATAATCATATTAAAACTATTGAAGAAGCCGCAGCAGCTACTCAAACTACTATTATAGAATACCGATATTATATTAATAATTCTACTACTGCTTTTACTACTATTTTCATTACTACTACTACAACAACTTCCGAATCTAGCCTTACTTTGGATATTACTAGCACCAACAACCCGGAAGACAGGAAAGGGAAAGAGAGAGAGAAGGAGAGAGAGAGAGAGAGAGAGAGAGAGAGAGAGAGAGAGAGGAGAGGAGAGGAGAGAGAGAGAGAGAGAGAGAGGAGAGAGAGAGAGCAGAGAGAGAGGAGAGGAGAGAGAGAGAGGAGAGAGAGGGCGAGGGAAGAGAGAGAGCAGAGAGAAGAGAGAGAGAGAGAGAAGAGAGAGAGAGAGAGAGAGAGAGAAGAGAGAGAGAGAGGAGAGAAAGAGAGAGGAAGAGAGAGGAGAGAGAGAGAGAGAGATAGAAGAGAGAGAGAGAGAGAGAGAGAGAGAGAGAGAGAGAGAGAGAGAGAGAGCAGAGAAGAGAGAGAGAGAGAGAGAGAAGAGACAGCAAGAAGAAGTGATTAGAGAGAAAGAGAAGACAGGAGAGGAGAAAGAGAGGAGAGAGAGAAGAGAGAGAGGCAGAAGAAGAAGATGAGACGAGAAGAAAGAGAAGAAAAGAGAGAGAGAGAGAGAGAGAGAAAGAGAGAGAGAAGAGAAGACTTCTGCATCCCTACCCCACCTTCGGCTAAATTCTCAACCTCCTTTCCCCCCCCACAGGTAGCCAAAACGGACAAAGCGCGGCGCCGGACAGGCTACACAAGCGGCAGCCACGGACATATAACATGGTGGCCCTAAACTTAGGGTCAGGGGCGGAGCTTGCGGCCAAGGATCGGGTGGGCTGGAATAGATTGTGCTTGTTGTTGATTCTATTGTTTTTTGTTATTGATGTGTAATCATCTTAATTGCTATTATCATTAGTGTTATTATTTACAGTATTGTCATTATTCATTACTGTTTTATTATCACCTTATGTTATCTCTTATTGTATGTTTATCATCATTTATCATAATATTTATTATCATTATGATTATTGGTATTGTTCTTATCATCATTATAAGTATTATCATCATTTATATCAATGATAATACTATAATTTAGATTGCTGTTGTTCTTATTTTTATCTATCATTTTGTTATTGTTCTTATTATGATCATCATCATCACCAAGATCATCATCATCATCATCATCATTTTTTTCGTCATCCTCAGATTATCACCATCATCTCAATAGTTATTCTGATGTTAGATACTAAGTTCCTGTGTGTATATATGTTAATGAGCATCAATCTTCTTATCAACCTCCCAGTCAGGCTATTTAATCCACTCTTCAAAAGGTCAACCAAACTACTGAACCAGATAATAGAGCAATCACCGCGCATTGTCGTTATCAGCTGTGAATAGATCGTTCCAGTAGTCCTATATCATTATTCAACCTTGATGTCTTCTCAATCACGCCACACCTACGGCTCCCCCACACCACAACCACAAATCTCCAACAACGGCACCCACATCAAGCCCACAAGCCAATAACAACTCGCCCACACTATACCCATAACCCATCCACACCACGGCCAATAAACAATCCACAACACACCCACAATCCCCACACCTCACCCACACCACACTCACAATCCCCTACAACGAATACCTCCTCAACCACAAACTCGCCCACACCACACTCACAACCCAATTCACACCACGTCCACACAAACAAGCCAAACACACCCACATCTCACCCACACCACACCCACAATCCCCCCACAACTCACCCACCAACGAATGCCTTCCTCAGGACGGCCTCACGGCCCCTCCACTACTGCGCGCGGGCGGCGCCACCTGGGCGTAGTGAAGTTACTTGGTCGAGGCTGGGCGGCGCGTCCCGGAGGATAAGTCTACGGGCAAGGCCCCAAAACCCCGATTACGTTCGCCGTCGCCAGTGAGCACGTCGATGTCTACTCTTATCTTATCAACAAGAAACACGATTCGTACAAGCTGTTGGAGGATAAGAAGGTGAGGAAAAGTAGGGGGGAGATGGCGGAGAGAAGGCGAAGAAGGAGGAAAAAGAGGAAGGAAGAAGGGGAGACCAGTAATTGGAAGAAGAGAGGGGAAAAAAATAAGTTAAGGAAATAGAGAGATTAGAAGGGAGTTAAGGGGAGAAGGAAGAGGAGGAACGGAAGGAAAAGGGAAGGGAGAGGGGAGAGAGTAATGGAAGAAGGATCGAGTAAAGAAGAAGCGAAATAGCAGGAGATGGAGAGGAGCAAGGGGAAGTAAAGAAGAAGTAAGGGAAGCGGAGATGGAGATATTGGAGAAGGAGGGCGAGGGAATAGGAGAAGGACATGAGGGAGAGAGGAAGAAGTAGTGGGAAAGAATAAAGAAAATATAATATGAGAAGCGAAAAAAAGAGGGATAAAATGAAGGAAAAAGAATAGGAAAAGCAAGAGAAGGAAGGGGATAATAAAGGAGAATGCGGAAAAAATAGTGCACAAAGGAGAATGAAACAACGATAGAGAGGGATACGCCTAAGGTAAGTGGCAGGGAGAAGAAAAGGGCAAACGTAGCAGTCAAAGGTAATAGAATCTGTGATAAACGGGGGCATGAGGAGAAAAGGAAAGCAGATATTGAGAGAAGAAGCGAAAAAGGATGAATTAGAATTAGGCGAGAAGAGTAATAGAGAAAAGCATGAGAAAGAGGAAGGCCCGGAAAAGAAGGAAGCAGGATGAAAAGATAGGAAGAGGAGATAAGGAGAGGAATAGTGATGAAGAGCACCAGAAAAAAATATGAGAGGAGAGAGAATAATGAAAAAAAAGACAGGAAACAAAAAAGAGGACTAGGTAAAATGAATGATCAATGTAATCTGTATTAGCTGTTAAGAATAATATGTAATTGTATAGATATCGTATTAGCATAATACAACCTATTTCATCATTCTTGATGAAAATGACGCAATAGGACCGCACTGAACAAATTACTGAACAAATTACAACCGTACAGACATGAACAATCCCCATTGTTTTTGTTTTTTTGTCTCTTTCTTTTATTAACCTGATCATTAGCCATCAGCCAAATATTTCCAAACAATCAAACAAATAAATATAATTAGGAATTTATGATATTAACCCTCCTCCCCATATTTTACCAGTACGTTCACGACCTGACTTTGTGATGAGCAAGAAACACACCACCAAACCCCTGGAAGAGTTCATCCTAAGGTCACCGGCGCCAGTTGACCTCGCTACCAAGTTGGCGCACACACTCCTCATTCTCTCCGATAAGGTAAGTGGCTGTGCGATGAATGGGCCTCTTAAGGGTGAGGGAGATGGGCCCCTGACGGCTTGGTGGTCCTGAGAGTAGACCCGAGCAGAGAGAGAGACCGACTGCCATGTAGAGATCCTGGCGATCTCAGTCCTTGAGATGAGAGAGAGAAGAGTTAAGATGAGGAGATGATGAGAGAGAGAGTGAGAGAGAGAGAGAGAGAGAGAGAGTAGAGAGGGGGGCGGGGGGGAGAAAGAGAGACGAGAGCTGAACGACGAAGAGAGAGAGAGAGCATTGGCCGGTAAAAGGAGAGAGGTTGATGAGTGAGGGAAGCGGTGTCTGAAGGGGAGGGTAGGAAGGTTGGTCAAGGGGTCGGTTTTGTTATGCAGGGGACT